TTTTTTTTGTCAGAAAGGTCAGCCACAAGTGATTTAACCACAGAAAAAGCATCAAGTGCAAAATGTCAAATCTACAAGGATGTTAGTCTTGCTGTGATGCTCAAGAGTCAAATTGAGAGGGGAACAGGTAACAATTATGTTCTAAACAAAAATAACTCAAGGTGTACATTAATCATGCATTTAAAAATCTTGCAAAAAAGACAACTGGTCGGAGAAAAGAGGAGCAAAAATTCCTAGTACAGGTACTGGGCGTTTTAATGGAAACATTGATAGTGTAGACTAAGATATCCAACAGTCCCATTTAGAAAAAACAAATGACCCCCTTGTCACAACACTGGCTTTCTTAAACAAAATGAAAGAATCCGTTGTTTGCCAGAGATATTTCTTCCACGTTGCATGCTTAGTGAACATAATGGGCCTGAACTTTTTAATGAACATGGAGAATGAACTTTTCTCCCATTCATGGAGAGGAAGGGCAAGATGTTGAGGGTAGTATCAAGAAGGAATTTACGGACAGGAAGATGCAAACATGCTGTGAATAAAGGTGAAGAGTGTTTTTTCTGTTAAATTCAAGCAGCAGTGCTCTAACCACTGAGGCATCCTATGACTAACAGATTAATGTCATTATGGTGACTGCATGGGGATTCTACTGTCTACATCTGCCATCTGTGATTAGTATGTGCCAACTAAACTTGTGATATTTAATGATTTTGAAAACTTCCTTCAATTGCCTATTACTTAATAGACATTCCCCAACTTACGAACAGGATGCATTCTGAAAATGCATTCATACTTAAACCAGCTTTTCCATAGGCACAATAGACAATACAGTCCCGAACTACCAAAAAGAGACAAAACCAACCTTTTGGTTTTATAACACACTGCTTTTTATTTACCTTGAATGATGAAATTGTTCTGCTTGTCTTTTATTAATGCTTTTTGAAGAACAGAGGTAAGGTATAATTATTAAAATGCAAGACAAAAAGTGGCACTGATGCACCACAAATGCATTGTCTTATCAGTTATTATTGAACTTATCCTCCATAAAAGACTAACAGTGCATCAATTAAACTCGTGTGAAATGGTTTCTATAGCGTTTCTGCCTAAAGAGGTAAAATTGAAACTTTTAAGGTGGTTTATATAAGTCAGTGACCAGCTATATATTTTCAATGATTAGACAAAATTAAATAAAATTGAGGAAACGCATCTAACCTAATTTTTCAAGACGAGATGACAGTTATGATAAATGGAACTGTATATTTTATAAAATTAAATTATCATGAACTCTGTAGGGAGGAAAAAATTCTTCGAAACAAAAATTAGTGTCTATGAATTTCCTAGTTGTTATAATCAGTACCCAGTTTGGTGCCGCCTTTTGATAATTACTTACTTGCTATAATCAGCAATCACTGCTGAGGAGACTGACAGGTTTATGCAGTGGGCTGTCCACAAGTCAGTATCAATACAGCTCTTGTACTACAAATTCATGCAATTGCATTTACCAAATGGTGACTGAAAATGATGTCTAGCTTTTATGCCCTGCCTTATACCCAGCATTTCCATTAAGGGGGCCCAGTGACGTAGAATATTTTTCAAAATATGAAAAATAGTGAAAAACTTTAAATGAATCTCCAATTTGCCATCAGCGTCATGAAATTTTCATCCCAATATGTTAAGAAATTTTTTTTTTACAATTTGTTTAAAAATAAATGCGTGCGAGACTTGGGACAACTGGTACTGATAATAACGATAACATCTACGTACTGACAATCAGGGATAGAGATGCAGGCACCTGTCCAACACACAGACTAGTAGTAGTAAGCAAGGTCAATATAGTGGATATGCAGCTGCTGCCACCTGGCAGGCCAAATTTCACACATAATAGCGTATTAGTATGTTATTGAGCTCTATTTTATTATATAGCATATAAATACTGAGACTGGTGGATTCCTACTACATTGCCTCAATGGCAGTATTTCTTATGTCCCTTTGTACAAAAAGCTGACAACCACTTATTTTTATTTTTTTAATTAGATTTTCATGTAACTTCTACATCTTGGAGAATGCATATCCGACACTAGGCAAAGTTGGAACGAAATTGGTCAACATTTCCTTCAGCCACAGGTGGCAGTTGTGACTTTTTTGGACGATTTATTTTCAGATTTCAAACTACTGTATTTTCTTTGTCTCTTTAGGTTGAACTGATGAGTGAGGACCAGATAAGTCTTATCACTTATATATGGTTAATAAAGTTACTGCAATAAATGTTTGTTATCCCTAACATATACCTATATTTTTTTGCGGAGGGAGGTATTTTTTCTTTACTTCATTTCAACACATTGACCTACAACTTTCCCATATTCGAGTACAAATGCCAAGCAAAGTTAATTAAAGCATTCAAGAAAATTCATTAATTAGACCTACCATATTCATCATCGATAACTTAAAACTTCATCTCTCTCTCTCAAAAAAAAAAAAAAAAAAAAATCAGTTTGACCGATTCTCACAATTTTTACACATGTGCAAAGTGCTAAGGTTTCCTCGCTTTTGTTTAGACATAAACCCATTACTTTTGGAGTTATTAATTTTTGGGTCTAAATTTTAAAAATATTTTGATGGCCATGTTGAAAAAATCTTTTACAGTACACTGCTCTCAAACAATATTTTGCAGTGAGGAGACGTATGCCATTCCAAGACCAAGATGAATAAAATATCATTTGGTGACATTTTAATATTTTTAAAGCTAATTTGAAATTATTTATTTTTACAATTTTATTTTTAACTTTTTTCTCTTCATGGTATGATGTTGATCCATTAGGAAAAGTGGAAGCATTTACCATGAAGATACTATTCACAAAGAGTGTTTGCGGAAGTTTCGGTGCACCGTCACCGGGCCCCTTAACTAACCCCATGCTGGAGTCTTATTGTATCTAAACTTCAGGTTGCAGCAGTCGATTTTCACAATTACTTTCAATGAATTCCACTTGGCTACATGTACTATACTGGTATTTGCTTACATTTCTTAGATTCCTGTGTTTTTCTGCTATAGTTATTGTGTTGTGTTCTCTCAATTTAAAAAGGCAGTCTTTGTCCACCTTGTCCATTTTCACGTGTTTTTATGCTGTGATCGTAGCCCCTCTGCATCTCCATCTGTTCGTCTTGTCGATGAGCAAGTAGACCTGGGAAGACTGGGCACCAATCCTTCAAGGTTAACCTAAGGCATAAACCCCTACATAATATAAAACCAGAAAAAATCTTATGTCCACCTGGCAATTTTCTCCACTGTACTATTTCTATCACATTGAGATATGTCATTAGATATCTCAGTGTTATTATGCTACAGTTTACCCATCACAGTACCAAATCGCTTTGAATAACCCCCATAGTTAACACAGAAAAAAAGGCAATATTGTTTGAATAAACTTAAGTACCCCTGATTGCAAGGTGCGCAATATTACGCTTTTGCACGTAGCTGCCAATTAAAATTAGGCCGGTTATACAATGTTATCTCTGCCATCAGTACCATCAGTAAATGGCTCCAACTCTAGCTACAAAAAATATAAATCTCTGGTTTGAATACAAAACTAACAGCTTACATAAATTTAAAATAGTAAGTTCTTAACAGCATATGGCAATGAGGAAACAAGTGATCAATATGCAGAAGTTATCAAAATAACATTGCTTGGCTTTTAAATACTTTTCACAGGTTTACATCCTGAAATACATACCATTCTCCTTGTTTACCCCTCAATACACCTAGAACTATACATAAATGGTATACTTATGATCTACAATTGTGTACACATGGGTGACACCTTTAATACTATATTCCCTTAAACATGCATGAAAGGGAACAAATCCACAAGGGCCGTGACGAGGATTCGAACCTGCGTCCGAGAGCATCCCAGATGCTGCCTTAATCAACTGAGCTACGACATGGTCAAAAGGAGTTGAAAAAATGATGCAGGTTCGAATCCTCGTCACGGCCTTTGTGGATTTGTTCATTTGATGCATCACGCAAATGTGATTTCTGTGTGTAATGCATGAAATTGTTATATACAATTGAATAAAAAATTTAAGTATTCTTTTTTATTGTTTTAAAATGCGCGCCTTTAGATTGCGAACAATTTGATACCAAAATGAAAGATGTAACACGAAAATTTATGCCAGAACACTGGAAAGATATAAATAATTTTGTGATGAGAGTCCAAAATGAAAATTTGTTAAAATTTTATTTATTGCTCTATTATTATGAGACTAGTTTTAAAATACTCGTCTTTTTATTGTGAACAATTTGATACCAAAATGAAACGCGTAACACTAAAATTGATGTTATCAAACTGAACAAGTATACACATTTGGCTGTGATGTGCAAATTGGTACTCGTTCACGGGTAACTTTATGCTTTGCTAAAGGGAGTCATGCTTGGCTTTTGGACAATATATGCATATTCAACACCTGCAGGGAATTTAATTGCGAACACTGATACCAAAACGAGCCACGTAGCACGAGAATTAAGGTGAGAAAACTGAAACACATACACATTTGACCGATTTTGTGGGCTCACGGGTAACTTTTGCCGATTTAGGCTTTGCTGTGAAGTCACGCTTCGCTTTTGGACCTTATATGCATATACACCTGTAGGGAATTCTATTGCAAACAGAATGATACCAAAACAAACAACGTAGCACAAGAATTAAGGCGAGAAAACTGAAACGAGTACACATTTAGCATCGCCGAGCGCTCGCTCGCACGTTCAGGATTAGTTCGTGAAAGTGCGAGCAGCACATGCCCGGGACGCGATAGTGTTTAGTCATGCATGCTTCTATTCCCATAGTAAAAGTAATTGCTTACCTGCCTGATTCAATCAAACCTATGAGTAAATATGTTCTGCAGATTTATTATTTATTTTTTCAACTGCACACTCAAATTATTGCAGATATTGATTTAAAGTAGTAGTAGTAGTAGTAGTATTTAAATGGTTAAAACAAAATTCAGTGTGTGAACAAGGTTTATTTTTGGATCTGAAAACCTGCGTACAAAATGTCCGGCATCACTAAATCCGTTTTGTTTTCGCCCCCAACCTTCACTAATATATATTGCTAGGCCAGACAGTACTAAAAACACACAATGGGCTATATGACAACAAAACCATAGTAATGATAGTGTACAGTAAGAACAATACAAATGACTTAGCATTTAAGAAATTTTCAACTAATATGTATGCCCACTTTTAAACTTTTTATATACAGCATTGTGATCCAGTTCAATATTTTGTAAATACAGTATACGTTAAACCTCGTTCAACCCGGCACATTTTCATAACCCAGTTTTCTGTCATTACCCATCTATTATAGTTAGTGGACAGGGAAAGGGTGAGTGATGAGATGCTCTATGTTTAACATTATGAACGTAAACCATGTCTGTATGTGTGTTTACAAAAAAAATATATATATGTATATTTATATATAGATTTTCAATAGTCAGATTGTGCTGCTTATCTAAACAATTTCACTTAACCAAATCAATGATATTGCAAATTAAATTATCAGTTCTAATGCATAACCCAATCTCTCCCACCTTAAAAGTATGGTGGATTTGTGACAAGCCAGATGTCCTTTGCTTTCATTGTTTAAAAATTTATTGCAACCCCCAGAAAACAATCCCAACTTGCATCCAGCTGAGAATATACAAATTAATAGCCTTCCAAACAAAACAAAAAAGGGGGGGAGGGGGTTTACTGCAGCTCTCCATATTAATAAAATTTAAAAACCTCACACATACATTTTATCACTTTCACATCAAAGAAAACGGCATGGTAAGAGCTATCAAGCGTTTTTTAAACATGTTAAGTTGAACTTTAATATTCAGCAAGGCTCTAAAGTTAGCTTGGGAATAAAATATTCCCAAACTGATGGGCACATGTGATAAGGGCATCCAATTTAGAGATGAAAAGATATTTCATACTTGTCCATACACCAGGAAAAGAAATTAAAAACCCACCAACTGTATACCTAGTCACCCACTTACAATTCTGTTTCTTAATAGGAAAGTACTGTATTGATATTGCTTAGATAAAATAAATCGAGGACTGCTTTAATTCCATGTCACAGATATAATTAAAACAATCTCCATTAAAAGAGAAAGTGACTAATGAATCCCAGCAAATTAGCTTAACTTTACTATTTTAGACTTTCTTGGAAATGGAATATAAGGATCATCTGCTTAGCCACAAGTTATTAATGCAAGATTTGGCTCACCACAACCTTTAAAACTCAATATGAAGATGCCAGTTGTCAAAGACATTCTATAATTCCACTAAAACTGCATGCCAACAGGTTCAATCTAATTTACAAAGTATTAATTTTAAAATGAAGGCAGCCACATTGATACAATTTTATTTGCATATACTGTAATATACATGATAGTGCATGTGGGTGATTTACCTTACCTACAGATCTGTACAAAGGATATACAAAATTACCTCTGAGGCAAAGACACTGGATAGGGGACCTGTTGCAAGTGCACATGATTGGTAGTCAACAAGGGTGGGGTTGATAGTGCAAAATCCCACTTGGCCAGTTTTCTGGGGCTACCAGTATAGACCAAGTTGTTTCACTAGCACAAAATTTAGAAATGTCAAAAATATTTCAACATAAAAGTCAAACTTGCAGACTGATTGTGCTAGCAGTAACCAACCCACCTACTAGAATAAACCCAGGAACATCCTGCCTTGTACAGTATTATACTTTGGGATATGAAATATCAAGTCCCGGCATACAATTCGAAGGCAGCAGTGATACCAAAGATGTTGGGGTCATTAAAAATGCGGCTGGAATGATACACTCAATTTACGTTACATTGAACTTATCAACCCGTGACAAACATTGCCCAGATCCCTTGCACGTCAAATTAGTTCCTTTCTGTACTAGCAAAAATAAAATTATCACAAAACACACAGTATAAAAACCATACATAATATAAGATTCTATAAGGAAACTAAGTACAAAAAGTCAACTGAAGAGAGCTCACCACAGAAAAAAAAAAACTGGTTTGTGATTCACTATAAATAAAGAAGCAAACATTATTGCAAGTACAAGTGAAGTAACTGGTATGAATAACCAAAAGGGTGAGAATGATAGAATAAAGGGAAATAATATTAGTACTGACATTTAAGGAACTTCTCCTGGGAACACACACCAAATTGTTCCACTTGGATCAATGGGTGTTTACTGGGGTTTGACAATGCTAAATCAGTGGCGCTAGTCCTCATTTTTTACAACAGTCGCCGCTTCCTTCTCAGCCTTCTTCTTCTTCTTCTTCGCAGCCTTGTTGCTAATGGATGCAGAAATTACTTGCTGCACAAAAAAAAAAAAAAAATACATTATAAAAAACTGGAAAATTAAATTTATAGCCTACGTTCAATCAGTTCAATTTCTGTCAACTGAAAGTTGCAGCTATATTGTTTGGCTTTTAGTACCAAGATGAATTATGTGAGTTGGTGCACAAGATTCCTACAACCAAATGTCTTTTTTGCTGTGTTATATCTAAACCCAATTTCAATTCCTGGCCATGAGCTTTCTCACAATTACCCTGTATCAATTTTTGGGGAATACATATTTGTATCATGAAATCTTCCAAGTGTTATGAAATGTATTTATGGATAGTGGCAGGATCACTGTACTTTTGTAATAATATTCAGGTGCTTTATCATAATATACTGTACAATGTTTTGGTATAATATGCAAATGTTTATAAATAAATATAGCTGTCATTATGCTGGATATTCATTATGAGCAGATAAAATCCATTTACTGATCATTTTATTACCTTCAATTCAGGATCTTCTATCTTGTAATCTGACTCCAACATGTCAGTGTCGAGCTGCAGGCCAGTGATCTTGTGCTGGCCACCTGGCATTAATAGCACAGTAAACTTGAACTGAGCAACAAACTCACCAGTCTGAAATAAAAGTGAAATACCAATTTACACATTTCTCTACAAACACTAATGATTTAATGCTAATCACTTCAAAGAATAATGTCGAACATCTTCATAGCTACACCCCACAACAAACCATCTTGTCTATAATGAGTTATAAGCAAACATGGAACTCCAAAAACCTGAAGACTGCAGATGTGGTACTCTCAGTCAAGGCAGGAAACGTGCAAGAGGCCATACGCTACAGACTGGTGTTCATTAAATTTATTATATCTTGTGTAAAATATTGGAGAATATAATCAGAATGAGGTTAGAGAAACACAGCAAGTACTAACTTTGTACAAACCACATCTACATAATCTACATACTATGCATATAAAATTAATTTGTATTATATAATAATATGCAAACATGATGCCTTCTCAAACATAATTTGTCCATGTTCTGATCATATTTACATCAAAACATGCTTTACAATACTAGATAATTTTCTACTGTGGTCATTTTCAAAGTTTACTGGAGATATCACTCACCTTCTCCCACAGGACAGGGTATGGGTCCACCAGCTTGTGAGCCACACACTCCGTTACCCCCAATCGTGCCTTCTTCTCATCATCAAATGACCTAATATTAAAAGGCATTGTTCCATGGTTTTTCTGGACCTAAAACAAATAACAAAAATAGAAAGGATCGTGTAAATTATTTTTTGAAATCACAAATTATGACTGTACACAGGTGCATGCATAGCCCATCTAAGCACAAACAGCCATTGCTGTCTTATAGTCAATTTCAATTGTAGTACTGTACAGTACATTTACCTATTTTAAAATTCCAAATACCATATTACAATAAAATTAATTCTAGCAATTTATCAAATTAAGAATTTTTCTTTATCAAAACCAATACATACTTTACCTATTGTCAACTAGGGTTATTACAAACAAGCCACTTGGGTTTAGTATTGTGCACAGATTAGACCATGACCATAATTCATTTCAGATCAAGAATTTCCATCAAAATGACATTCTTAACCATAATCTAGAAAATTAAAATTTCCCCTGAATGGTAATTTACCTTGCTGAAGAATTCTCGAGAAGCCTTGAGTTTCAAACTGTAACTTTCTTCTGTTTTCCTGAAGACTGTGACACGTGCTTCTGCTTCCTTGCCCTAAAGATTATGTAGTTATACAAATTTAGAATTGTTATATACACAGTATGATCTTTAAGGCATTTTAGTTTTTGTGTGAATGGAGAAGTATCAGAAGTAGTTAATCAATTTAAATACCTGTAATGTTTGACTGAATTAAGCAGGAATTTGAAAAAGCCAAGTGACATAGTCTAGGAATGAAAGTGACATTGGAAACTTTATATTAAAAAAAAACTAAAAGATGCAGGCTGAAGAATGTAGAAAGGAATGACAGTACAGCATCCTTTAAATGCAAGACAATGGTGTGATATGAATAAGACATACAAAATTACATCCGTATCAATAGACACTTAAGAAGAAAGTGTGGTATTAAAATAGTATGGAATGAAAGCATGGAAGGATGAGAAGACCATACAGAGATGGCTTTAGTGTTGAACTATAGAGTTAATTCGTCATATGTTATACAAAGTGGGGCTTGAATGTTGGTACTGCATACTCCTGGACTGGCTTGACAAACTCAGCATAGAATAATGTTCAGAATAATAGTGTGTTGTGTATAAGAAAATTGGGAATCTCATGTGAACACTACAGTGAACATGGTAAGGAACAAGGTTTGGCAGTAACAGCTAGGAAGAAGTGTGAATGTGTATTTGTACAGTACATGGCAACTCAGAAGGAGCACTGGACAGTCACATGAAGAGGTAGAGTGTTGCTATGAATATATGCTGCTATGAACTTGAGTGTGTGGGGTAGAGGACTGCTTATGTATGCTATATTGTATAGATATAATGAATGTAAAAGTACTTTTTTATATCTACAATGCTGATTACAAAGCAACCCTTTCTTTCAGGGCTGATTCTTACTCATCCCATGATATGGGATATGATGATGATGATGATAACAATAACAATAATAACAACAATAATAATAATAATGTGCATGGTAAGTGGGGTCACTTGTACACTTGGGTAAGGTCGCCCGTATCCGGCTATGTTATCGACATTCAAATAATACATAATTAAGTTATTGGAACACCTTGTGTGAAATTACTTAGGTGTGCATTAAGAGGCAAGATCCAGCCCTAGATCCTCACCTCATTGCTATAGTAGCTGGAGCATTTATACCTACCAACTTTCAAAGTACTGTATTTGCTCTTGAGGTTGAGAATGATGGTCGCTTCTACCACCTCTGGTTCAAGTTCATTCCACTTGTTTACCACTCACACTGCATACAAGTATTTCCATACATTTCTCTGACTCAAATGTTTCCAACTTCCACCTGTGCCCTCTCATTCTGTTGTCCCTCACCTGGAAAAAGATAATCTCTATCCACTTTTATCTATTGCCAACTATCTTTTATGTTGTGATCATGTTGCGATCTCTCATCCTAATCTTTGAATGGCTTCACTTCACCTATCCTCATAACTCTTCTAATACTGGTCTTGTTGCAAATTTTTGGACTTTCCTGGAGATACAAACTATGACTGGTCAACAAATGCCATGTATACTGTTCTGAAGGACTCCTGTTATGTTATTTAAAGCCATTCTTACATTTCCTAGACTAAACTGTACTGTCCAACAGACATTTTTCTGCCAATTCCTGCAACCTGTTCAGGAAACCTGAAGTAAATATTAAAAGAAGGCACCAAGCCGGGAACACTACGTAGCACCATCAAAGTTGCTGGATATTCTCAAAGGTGCTAAATATATAATTCAGGATGCCAGTATGAAAAAAGGACTTAAGGTGAGCGATATCAAATGTATCGGATTCATCTAGGATTCTACTGAAGGCCAAGTGATCCTAAGGGACATTAGGAAAGCAAGACATGCTCATTCTGAAAATTGGGACAGTCTACATGGAGGTGTACAACTGTGTGGGACTTCAAACTATAAGGAACAGGGGTGGTGTTCCATTAAGTGCCCATGAGTTGAATGAGTGGGGCTGATATGCAACCTAGCCAGAGCCATTTCCCACAATCTATTGCAATGATAGGAAGGCCAAAGGAATAGATTATCTTTAAGAGTGCAGAGTGTTATCAGACCAATGACTTTGCCAACAATTATTGATTGTTGAATGAATGAATGGGTAGAAAGAGAGAGTGTCCCTTTTCAGGAAAAAGAACAAGTGCAAATGGCCCCACTTGGCAGCAGTGTCCACACGTTAGTTTGACACCAATATGGCTAGGAACCCAGCAAACCCCAGTCCTACTGCATCATATATTCTCCCACACTAGTGCAAAGACCTTTCTCCTTGTTGCTCCAGACAGGCCACCCAACCAACCTCCAAGGGTGGCCCCCCCTCATGGGTGACCCCTCTAATGGGTGGTCCGACAATCTAAGAAGGTACCCTACATTTGTTTCTGTTGCAGGTACTGTACAATGCCCGGGAAGGGGCAGGAGAGGGGAGCCAAGGCAACCAGCACTGGCTGCAGGTACCAATGCTCCAGGTAAACATTGACATTGTTATATATGTTCATTAGGAATACAGTAGAACCATGCCTTGCAGAATCAAGTTTGCCACTTCCCTCCATCCTGATTCTTCCCCTCACTACAACCCTGTTCCCTATGTCATACTCTAATGTAGGTGGAAGCATCAAAAGTTTTTTGGGAATCTAGGATGATGCATGCCACCCATCCTTTCCCCTTATTGAATATTAACACTGAACATCCTAAGTTTGTTGGAATTTCACATTTAGAAACCCTTTATTTGAACATGGAATATATCCAAGAGATTCATGGTTTTGTTTTAACAATGTGACATATTATATACACAAAATTTAGCACCAGTGGCTGGACATCTATTGGCTAACCAGATACGGGCAAACTTAAATTAATCTAATATACTTAAGGATTCCTGCAAACATGCAATACCTATAAAATTATTTATCGAACTCCATCCCTAAATTAATCTTCAAGATGTTTCACTATATGAAAAATAAAATGGCATTTCAAATTAATATCCATAATATTTCAAGTCATAAACACCAACTCACTATAAATTCGTAAATGTCAACCTAGCTGCTCTATATAAGATACCACTAATTTGTTGGTAATTTATGCAGAAAACATCTGCATTGTGTGGAAGAGCCCAACTTTTTGACTAATACCATATTACCAAGAACAAAGATGAGTGTACAATTGTGACATCAGATGGCCCTTGCATTACTTGCTCATCAAGTTTCAGATATCCAAACACTGGATTTGTAAGCACTTTCATCAATTGACACAATAGTACACATGAAAATTTCAAATCTGAATTAAATAAAAAAAAAATAAGCAACATCACCTGGCCTTCTCCAGTAGAAACTATGACATCAACACCATAAACTTCATGCGTCTCAAAGTCTTGCTTTTCAACCTCCTTACGCTGAGCTTCTGTTGGATTCTGAATGATAGTTTTTTCTCCGTCTATCCGTCCTTGTTGGAGTTGGAAGGACAGCATACCCTCCACTGGCTTACACTTAAATACTTCTGCAATCTTAGTGACAGTATCCGTAACTGAAAAGTTTTGATTGCCAGGTTTAACTAGGCGTAAGGCTGCCTCTGCTGCATGGTGTGCTGCAAGCATCACATCTGCTCGACGTCCTTTTATCTTAAAAGAAAAAATCATCACTTTGCAGTAGAATGACCCACCATGGTTAACCTCAAACCAGCCATAATTATTAGTACTGATTTTAAGAGTTAAGGCAGTCTGTGCAATTCTTTGGTATATTTATGATCTTGTTATCCACAAAATAACATTCCTGAAATTTGTCAAGACATAAAATACAAGTATTCACTGAACTTTAGAATATAAACAGTACTGTACCTTATTCTCTTTAGATGCCCCAACGACGACAGTGTGTCCTACCACTGCAATAAACCCATCGATGTGTGCACCCATATCAATTTTAACTAAATCGCCATCTTGTAGAATTGTATCACCCTCAGAAGCAAGTGGGGAGTAGTGATTGATGCAGTTGTTAACTGAAGCACAAACTGGAAAGGCTATACCCTTCTTTAAATCCTTTTCTTTTTTAAAAACTTTGCTAGTTTCCTCCTCCAATAAACGATCGCCCTCTGCACAGATGTCACGCACTGATGCCAAGGGTACACACTTTGCCACAAGTAGTTTTAAGACGCCTGAAATTATAGAACATTGATAATACTACCAATATCACTTAAAATTTTATGCAAGCACATTTTTAACATATGTACTATATTATATACAAAAACAATGTTTTACTAAAATTTACAACAGGATACATCTATATGCAGTATAACAATTTCTCCATATAATGATTCTATGAATTCTCGTAACATTCAACTTCCCTAGCCACCGCACTGCGCACCTGATTTAGACAAAAACGTTAAAGTACAATTGTCAAGGGCATATTTTTTTTTGTTTTTATAAATGTTTAGGTAAAGATAATGTTAAAAGGTTTCCAAACTCAACCATTTTCATTTCAAAACACAAAGTGATGAAAGCATTAACACTTTCGCGTTCCACAGACTTAATAAGTCGTCACTCTTTTTTCTACTGAATGTGTTCCAGTGACGCATTTTTGCGTCACTCGATATAAAAATTTGTAAAAAAAAAAGTTTCTATGCGATCTTCAATTTTTTTTTTTAGAAATGAGCGCCATTGTTTTCCCACAATCCTCCGTAGGCCGCATGGGATTCTGGGTCACGCCATGCGGTCGGCCTAGTCCTTTGTTTACGTCTCTCGTGACCGGACTACCGCGCTCCCGCGTCCAGAACCTGTGCCACTCTCTGCCCTGTGTAGCAGTGTTTATTCGTTCCTGTCTCCTTACAACGCATTATTACTTGCAAACATGGATCGTGGTAAAGGACAGAGCACCTCTACCCCCAAGAAGGATAGTGAAATGACCAAGGAAGATAAGTTGAGTGAGCTGTACAAAAGGTTCAGCAATGTGAAGCTTACCCCTAGTAAAATTCCTGATTTGTTGGATCGTTTGTCAGATGTGGAGGCAGATGCTGAAGGGGAAGAGCGTCAGAGTGATTTCAGTAGTGATAATGAGGGGACAGCGTCGTCTGATGAGTTTGATTCATCATCGAGTGAGGAGAGTAGCGAGGGGATTGAGGATGAGTCAGCGGATGTGGGCCGCCCCAAGGCACCTGTAAGGAGGCGTGCAGGACGTCTTCAACAGCCTAATCCCGATGCTGCCTGGTCAACTGACAATACACCACCTATTGTAGGCAGTTTCAGTGCCACACCAGGCATAACTGTCCCAGTGCCAATTACCCCCCTGCAATTTATTCAATTATTTCTGACCCGTGCCCTAATTGAGTTCATCACAGTGGAAACTAACAGGTATGCCAGGCAGTTTATTCAGAATGCTTCCAGGCGCACTATGAGGTTGTGGAAGGAGGTATCTGCGAAGGAAATGGCAAGGTATTTGGCTTTATCAATCTTGATGGGTATTGCACGACTCCCAACAATGCGCATGTACTGGCAAACAAGCCGGTTGTGGCATATGAGGACCTTCAATGTGTTCATGACTGCAAAACGATTCCAACATATTGCCCAGTTTTTTCATACTTATAACCAGTTTGCAATTCCACCCAACAACAAGAACCGCATGATAAAACTCAGCACCATCATTACCTATTTGACCAACAAATTTGGCTCTTACTACGTCCCCAATCAAGCACTCAGTTTGGATGAAGGTACAATGTCGTGGCGTGGTCGTCTATCCTTCAAGGTTTACAACCCCAATAAGCCTGATAAGTATGGGGTAAAGTTGTACATGCTTGCTGAGGCAGGGACTGGTTATATTATTGATTTCGAGGTTTATTCTGGAGTGGGCAAGACAACAGTTGAGACAGTGATGGGCCTTATGCGACCCTTGTTGAACAAAGGTTATCATCTTTATATGGACAATTATTATAACTCTGTCCATCTCACAGAATTGCTAAGGGAAAATGGGGTGTACACTTGTGGAACACTCAGATTGCAGCGTGGTGCCCCTAAAGAGCTGCAAAAACTTGCCAAAGGTAAATTCGCTGTTGATCAGACTATTTTCAGGCGCAAGGATAACACTTTTGTTATCCTTTGGAAAGACAAGAGAGTGGTGTCAGTGATCACAAACTGCCATAATGCTGACACACAGGAAGTACAGAGAAGGAAGAGAGTGAAGAAACGTGACGGAACATCATCTGTTCAGATTGTAACTGTAAACAAACCAACAGCCATTTGCGACTACAACAACAACATGAAGGGAGTTGATCACTTCGACCAAATGGTCAAATATTACAGGTTCACCAGGAAGTCGCATAAGTGGACTAAGAAGATCACATTTTACTTCCTTCAGATGGCTTTACACAATGCCTATGTGTTGTACAAGATGTACACAACTGATGCCAAGAAACTGACCCTACTCCAGTTTCATGAAGTAGCAATATGGGCCCTGTTGGGGTGGGACATGGATGAGTGGCCTGCTACTGAAAGCCCTCTCCCACATGCTGATGATTACCAGGATCCTTCTCATGATTTGGCAACACCTGGCCCATCTGGAGCGAGGCGTCCTTTATTTCATCGTCTTCCACGCCAACCACATGCCTCATCCTCATCAGACACTGAACCTGAAACTGAAACGCCTGCACCTCAAGCTGAAGCTACTCCTCCACCTGTGAAAAACCCCCGCATTGTTGATTCAGAGGACAGGCTAAACAGGAAGTTGACTCATGCATTAGTGAAAATTGCTAAACGGAAACGGTGCCGAGTTTGTATCAAGTCGGGAATTAGAAAAGACTGTATGTATCAGTGCAGGACATGTGGAGTTGCTCTATGTGCCACACCATGCTACTCAAAATATCACCGCAAGAGGATATTTTGGAAAGCAAAGAAATAACTCCTCTGCAAGCTTCCACTCCACCTAACGTAACATCTGTTGAGCAACTTCAGGGACATTTTCCTGAAGCCGGTGGAGTGGATAATCAAATGCTCAACTTGTTGACCTTCCTTCATCACATCGTGGGTAAGTACACATAATTTATATTACACATTTTGAGGTTATTACTTCTTCATACTTTGCTGTGGGTAGCTCTATATATATTCCAGTTCTTAGTGCTCAGATTGGTATGTCTACATAGTGCATCTTCTTGCGAGTATTTTGACACCAAAATGAACAATGTAGCACAAAAACTTCCATTGGAACAATATTTTTGTTTGTCGGGTGTATTGGGTGTACCGGGCGTGGAAACGGGTGTTTGGGCGGGTGAGGCATCGACGTGTTTGGGGGTGTTTGGGGGTGAGGCGCGCACGTGTAACCCACTTTTATGCATATGTCTGTGTAGGCAATTTTATTGCGATCACCGTGATACCAAACAAAACCATATGCAACAAGTTTTGACTTGATAAACACAATCAGAGTAGCAACATATAGGGAGAGTTTAGCGGAGTTTTGCGTGAGCGCGAAACAAAGCACGCAGTTCTTTGGTTGCTGGTCGCCTAATGTTAGCTTTGGTGAAATGTTATACATATGTTCTTATAGTACATTTCATTAGCTACACAGTGATACCAAAAAAAAACACGTACATCGAAAATGAGGGACACAGACATGAGGAGAGTATAAACTTTTCAGTTGTGGTTGAGCGCATGTGCAGCTGGGCGCGCTCCGGCGGGTAACCCTAAGCCAACTTCCCACATTCCTGTGGGTGGGGCGACACCATTATTTATTGTGTATATTTATATGTCCGTGTAGGGAATTTTATTGCGGTCACAATGATACCAAAATAAACCACGAATAATAATTCTGGGGTTCGCAAACATAAAAACATCGTAAACATTGATGCCCGGTTTTACGCTCACAGCTAACGACCGCCACAGTTTGTTATTCGGTGTGGTTCTCATGTTGTCTTTGGTGACATTTTATATATATATTCCTCTAGAGCATTCTCTCGCGAACACAATGATACCAAATTTAAATACATGCCGCCAAAATTAAGCTCCCCACCCCGAAAAGATTATAAACATTTTAGTGCTGACGCGCAGTACGCCGACACGAACGGCCCACTTAGGGCTTACCGTCAGCCTATTCCCAGGGAGCGCGAAAGTGTTAAAAAACATTAAAATATAGCCTAATTAAAAACAAAATAGCACAACTCTCAGTGCAGAGATGCTCTGCACAGTACAGTGGCTAGGGATAAAGTTACGGCAGAAGAATTGGTAAATAACTAAGCATGGGTATTTGAGTTGTGACAATAATCTCCTTCAAGAGATTGAGCCTGCTCTTCCCTCCACAAACACGTCGTTGAAATTATATAAAACGACTATGGAAGACATGTCCAACAACAACAACAACACCAGCAAGGCTTGCCAGGGTGAGCAAAACATATGCAGCCAGCCACCTGTTCGGACTCAAACCACCAAACTACATGTTGATCGCTACCGGCTCCGCTGATTGGTCGCCGGTCTGGCTGCACCTGCACTCGCCCCCCATACTACTTGATGTCTGGGGTCGCCCCAACCTCCTACCTCAGAATATTCAGTGCTTCCACAGTTAACACTCCTCCCGGCTAGACGCTGGCGTGTACTGAGGGAAGTGGTAGCTTAAGCCAATATTCCAGCACCTCCCATTTACTTGTATATTGCACTTCTTGTTATTTTGTCTTAACGTAACTTTTCATTGTGTCATCTAATTATTCTTATTATTTTGATTGATTTTATTATAAGAATTTGTTGGTGCATTTTATTCATGTTTTGATTTATTTAACGTAATTAAAATTTCATTGTTAAAGTTTACTTGTGTTTTGTGTGTCTTCTCCTTACCTTACCACAGACGAAGTTCCAGTTTTTTCTATTTTTTTTTATAACTATGTGACGAGGCCATACCCCTAGCCTTAAACAGCCGAACACCAACGCGTTACCGTCACAGAGTTTACATGAGGTAAACAGGTTTTTGCTATTGTGTATTGAAATGCAGAGGGCAGACTAAAAATGGCAATTGTTGGTAAAGTTGCTAGGCCAAGACCATTAATTATAAATCTATATAGATGTTCTTTACTCTCACCTCTGAAATGTTTGGTTAATGTATGAAAAACACCTTAGTTTCATCATGTTATCAGGTGCAAAGGATTTTCAAATGAAGGAATAAAGACTGAAGCTAGAGATGTGAAAG